ATATATATATATATATATATATATATATATAATTTCCCCCCCTAAATGTTTGATTTATTAGTCTAATATTTTTGTTAAGTTTGTAATACGAATTACCTAAAAAAACACCACAATTGTATTAATCATAAGCCTTTAAAAACAATTCCGTTGGAAGAATAAGTGAAAATACACAGCTTTACACTAAAATATGTATTATATACACGATTCATGTTTTGTTTTACCTGCATCTTCCACAAAAAAAACAGTTCTGGTGGTAAGTATTCCCAAGTGCTGAAACCACCTCTCCTTCTACGTAGTCTCCACATGCTGCACATTTGGTCCCAAAAGCTTTCTGGTAGTCATTAGTACAGTAGTAGCTGCTGTCTTTCAAGAAAAACCCACCAGATGCCAGTGATGTGGAACACACTACAGTTGTAATATGGAGCATAAACTGATTTTTTTTTTCTGAACGCTATACACTAAAAATGCTGTTAATTGTCAAAAACAGTGTTTATCATACTTTTTTTTAACTATAAATAATAATTGTATAATAGTAGTTTTTTTTACAAATCTAACACTATTCTAAAAATAGTAACTGATGTCATTAATATATTAGTAATTAAACTTTTTTTTCATACAATACCTTATACAAATACTTCCTTTTACACTATTCCCCAAAACATACTACTATGTAATAATGGATTCTATTAAGTAAATCTTAAATTTCCTTTAAAAAACCTTACAGTGAATACAAGTATATACTTATGAGCTTTTATTTCAGGTATAAAATATTTCTGTTGAAACAAAATAAAAAAAGGGAATTTTTCAAGAGAAATACTGTGTACGATAATCACATATGAGGGATTCTGTGGAATTACACATGAAGACATAAGATGTGTGTGTGTGTGTGTTAGGGGGGGGGGGGGAGACAACCAACCAGCAAGTACATTCTGAAAAACTGCCTTAAACTGATAAATTCTGCAGCTCCTTGATGTCAAATGCCTAAATAACCATGAATATAAAAGCCAACAATAACCATACAAATAAATGGTATACGCCAGATCATCATAGGACTACGACAGTGAATTTATTTAACCTTCTCCAATTTCACAGGCCTAAACATATATCATTTTTATGTTAGTTTTCACAGATCATTGGCTCTAGTCAGAGCCCTAAGATGCAGCTTGGAAATATTAATTTGTTATAAATATAAGAATTTATTTGTTTTCAGGTTTAGATAACTTTTACAGGTCTTCTGCACCCTTCATAGAAATTAACATTAGTTTTCAAAACTGGAACAAAACTGTCACTGCTGAACTGGTGATAAATACTGTAGTATCAGTTATATGTTTAGATACAACAATAAACATGTAGTTCATTCTTCCCTTGAAGGTTTGTTGTCAGTATGACAATATTAGGTGAAGAATAAATTCCATTATTTTACATTTAACCTGTTAACAATATATGCTATAGCTGATACAATAATGTTATAAAACAATGAAATAGTGTTACAACAGAAATTAAATCCTATAAGAGATCGAAATAATGAGAGGAAAGCAAAATAACCTAAAAGTGGGTGAAAGTAGGGTGGGGTAAACAGCAGGATTAAGCCAGAACACAGGTACTTCTAGTTCAAATAAACAAGAGAGAGAGAGAAAAGTAAACTGAGAAAAGACAGACAGGACTAAACTTCTGCTGAACTAAAACCTTTCTCTCTCTCTCTCTCTCTCTCTC